CGATTCCCTGATTTTTCCATGCATTGTAACAGCCACAAACACCACTAGATGTCACAACTGCTTCACTGTTTGGCTGGTCCCTCCTGAACAGCCTTAGCTGAAAAAGGGCTTTTGCAGGTTTAGCTGAGGAGCAAAATACAAAGACAACTAAGCAAAACCAAGGTTTTGTCCTCAGAAAGTGCAGGGTGCTTTAGGATACACCTTTCTTGAGGAAAAAAAAAACAAACAAAAAAAACACGTGTTTCTCAAATCCTCTGGGTTTGGACACAGAAAGGCTCTGCAGTTTGTTCAATATGAAGGAAATTTGTGTGTGGGACCACCCTAGCCTTTGAAACTACAGCAAAAAGCTGTGGAGAAGAAGTTTGATGTGGTGCACAAACAACAGTGCTGAAGGCAGGAAAGCAAAGTGACCACAGGATATTATTTTTGCTTTTATTCTGATAATGTCAGAGCTGGAAGTGACTTTCCTGCACTTTCCATAGTTATAGCATATGGCATTTTTATTGTCACTGTGGTTGTTGATGCTTGATGGTCTTGGAACACACAAGCACCCACCCACCTCCTCCTACTGAAATAGTGAAGAAATAGCAATAACATCAACTGAACTTAATTAGGCCAAACTCGAGGTGTTTTCTGTTGCAGGAGCTAATTTTAGATGCCAAACTGCCACAGAGGCTGGCTGTATCTCTGCCCTATTTTAGCAGCTCGTGGCAGAGAGGCAAATGATTGGAAGGTGAAGGAGCAAGCACAGTTGCTTCAGCCCATGTGAAGGTCAGGGAAGAATATTCTTCCTCTGTTCCCAAGGCAATCTGATTTCTGTCTCTGCTGGTGTCATCCGTAGGAACCTGTTCGTCCTCAGGACTCGGCACTGAGGTTGCCGCAAAAAGAAAAATACATCGTTTTCGGAGGGAGGTTCAAACTAATTATCTCCCACAGGCTTTCAGAGAGTTTTTCTCCCTCCCCTAAACACACTGTAGTCAGTGCACCAGCCTGTGTCATCATTATGTGCATGAAAATAATAGCAAAGCTGAAGATAATTAATTCATTTATTCACTCTCTCATGACCAGTAATTGCTCCCGTGGATTTCTTTTTCACTCCAGTGACAACAATTATTGCAAACAAAACCAAAACTGAATTCCTGTGAAATTGCTGTTAAAGCATTCCCTGAAGGTGAAAAAAAAAAAACCAAAAAAAAAAAAAAAAAACCCCAAACCCCTAACCTAAAACAAATAAAAAGTACAAAGACAAGAAAGCAAAAATTATTGTCAGCACCTCACAAGAAGCAGTGAACATCTTGGAGGGTGTGTTCTCATTGTGCTGAATTCTGAAACAAGTTTGTGAGGGAAAGAAAAAGGGCAGACATTGATCTCTGCCTTGGGCCAGGGGCCAGGGAATGGCCTGAAGCTGTGCCAGGGAGGTTTAGGTGGGATATCAGGAAAAGGTTCTGTCCTCAGAGGGTGGCTGGGCACTGAACAGGCTCCCCAGGGCAGGGGTCACAGCCCCAGCCTGACAGAGCTCAGGGAGTGTTTGGACAATGCTCTCGGGCACAGGGTGTGACTCTGGGGGATGCTGCTGTGCAGGGACAGGAGCTGGACTGGATCATCCTTTTGGGTCCCTCCCAACTCTGCTTGTTCTGTGATTCTGTGAACAACCTGGTTTAACTTCATCTCTAAAATCTGAGTGCATTTAATGGGAAAACAGATTTAAAATCCCACTGAAAATAAATGGCACTTTTACCTTGAGTGAGCTTTGAATCAGAGGATTCAAAGGAAGGAGGTTCCAGAGGAACCCCCTGGAGGTGCTCCCATCTCTCTCGGAGATGTCCCATCACAGGACATTGGAAGCACAGGCAGGAACCTGCTTTTCCTGAGCAAGGGACATTTTTCAGCTCAGTGGGGTTTCTGCTTGGTTACACCACTTCAGTGGGTACCACAGAGGAGTGTTAGCTCTCTGCTCTCACACTCCACTGAAACACCCAGGTACAGTTACCCTCAAACTGAAATATTTGCAGTGTTTAAATTCACTGGGGTTATTGACAGGTTTAGAATGTGACAAGCCCAAGTCACTGTAGGAGACCACAGTGAAGCACATTGTCATACGCCTGTGTCTGACAAAATGTGATTTTGATTTGATTTACTTGTGCAGGACAATAAATATTTGAAAGATGAGGTTTTAAATGGCTCATTCTGTGCTTCCTCCACGTTGGGGTGGACTGCAGAGGAGGAGGTGGACCATGGGTTAGGACCCACATCTCTCCACTGTAACAGGAACCCAGAGTGGCACAAAGGTGTCTGAACTGCCTCAGGCTTGGGCAGAGGGTTCCCAGCCTGGCTACATTCACCTATTTTGCATGACTTGCCCATCACAAGATTATTTATTACAGCGGCTTTAGTCAAATTCCTCTTCCTCACTTTAAAGCAACGCTTTGTCTGTCCATTCAGATACAGCCTAAAACCAACTGTGGCCAATGAGTCTGTTCAAGCTGACAGGCTCTGCTAAATGAGTTTCTCTGCTGGACTCAGTGATGCTTTCTTTTGAGATAACACTAAATCACAGCTCACCCAAGCCTGATGCCAACTCCCTTCATGACTGGAAGGAAAAGAAACTTGGCCCATAATTTACCTGGGAAGAAAAGAGGGAAGCAAAGGGAGAAATGTTTCCACTCCCCTCCCACCACCCCGATCCTCAATATGTAGCCCAGCTTTTTCTAAATGAATCTAACAAATCCTAGATGAAAACATGATTTATGGCTGTAGATACAGCCTCTCCTCTGCCCCATGTCAGTCTGGGAAGCACCCTGTGAGACCCAGGGAGGTCTTTGGTGAGCTTCCCAAGCTGTGCCCCTTGGACCAGCCCATCCTCAGGGTCTGGAGCTGGACCAGAGCTGCCCCAGCTGATCATCCTCAAGACACCAAAGGTTCCTTGTGTGTTTTGCCTTGACTGTTTGGACTGACCTCCCCAAGCACTGCATGTTTGTCTGGAGAGGATTGTCTGTTCCCAGAAAAACAGGATGGTTTCAAACCATTTGTTTATCAGCAGGGGTGACAACTACTATTGCCAGGCAAAAACTGAGAGTCCTCATCTCTTTTGTCTTCTTGGAACTGTATTGCAAAACAAGCCCTATGGATAGCCAGGGTTGATCACAACCCAGAAATTCTCTTTAGCAACCTGGCTGCTGGCACCTGAGTGTGTTAAATCAGACCTTTGTGGGTGGTGAAGGCAATGACAGGCCTGATACTGGATGTAGGGGGTGACTGACTGCCTGGCAAGCAGCCCCATCCCCAGCACAGTCACTTTCACCATCCCTCTGATGGGGAGGTAAACAACCCAAATTTGAATGTGTTGGCTTTGTCTCACTCTCCAAAAATCACCTGTCGTGTTTCTGTAGTGACCTGGCTGGTCCCCAGAAAGCATTCCCTGCTCCCACACAGGTTCCATGGAGTTTTTCAGTGCCCAAATCTCCATATCCTTCCCCTGGTAACACCTCTGCATAGAACAAGCCCAGTGAATGTGTCCCATCGGGGATCCTTCCGTGAAACCATTTGATTTTTAAAACTGCATTTCACTCAAACTTTCAAAACATCTTTTCTCTCCATCTGTGAATCCATCTGCAGCTGACAGTGATTTCTGGTTCATCAGCTCCACCTGCCTCACTGGAGCTGTTCCTGCTTGCCGTGGAGGTGAGGAACACTCACCATGGGTTGTCACCCCCTGATCAGTGGAAGCCTTTTCCTGGATCACGTTTTTCTAGCAAGTAAGAAACAGCTTGGGCCAACATGAGGTACTCTGTGTACTTGAGCAGATCTGAAAAAAATCTCATCCTCCATTGAATATTCTGAATTCAGGAAAATCTTGTAGCCATCCTTTCCACTTCTACACATCCCTCCTAGAATGGCATTTTCTGCTCTAAGCAATGCAACACTTTCCTGAAGTGTTATTGTAGTTCTGTGGTGTTGAGAGATTTGTAGGCAGGAGGGGATGTGGGTCTCCTTTGTCTGGGGTGGGCACTCCTAGGAGGTGAGGGGTCCTGCCTAAAATAGATGGGGTGAATCCATTTGGCTCTTTCCATGGGCTCCAGGTTAGTCCAAGCTCGTGTAGCTTTTGAGTGGGAAGTTATGTGAGATAAATCCTATTACTCATGTGGCAAAACTAGGAATAAGTTGTTCCTGGTCCTGCTCTATCCATCTGTTTGATCAGCAAAATGGGTGCAGAGATGGATCAATAGACAAATAAATGAATTATAGCAGACAGTATTTGTCTGTGCTTGGCCAGCCATCTGGCTAAATAGCAATATTGATCGTGTAAATAATGATATCCCTGAAATACCTTACTTACTCCTCAAGCAATAAATACAGGCCTTAGGGTGTGAATTTCTCCACTGAATTTTTCTTGGGGAAGGCAGCCATCCACCACAGAGTAACAGCAACACGTGGATTCTCTCTCTCACATTGGTTTGATCTTATCTATTTCTCTTAAATTAGTCAAATGAAGACTAGAAAGGCATCAGGCTTTTTTTCTGTCTCATTTACTGAATATTCAGTTTGAAACTCTGAGTATAATTTAATCGAGAAATGTTTGAGCATTTCTAAGTGTCTAAATGTTTTCTAAGCATTCATTGACCAAACAAAGCTTATTTTCCCCTTTATAACAAGATGATCCCAAACTGGATGACTGAAATAAGAGCTCACATGAGGCACTTAGTGGCTGCACCACTTTTAGGCAGCCCAGTGTAAGAGCTGAGTGAGAACACAGAACTCCTGCAGAAATCATCCCCTATGTGAGATGCTCCCATCAAGGCTTGGAGAGAAATAAAGGCCCAAGGCCAAGTCAGTCCTGATCCAGAGGGATCCAGAAGCCCAGAGTGAGGGTCTCTGTGAGGCTGATGGGACCAGCTGATCAGAGGCTGTGTCCTGTGTCCTGTGTCCTGGGCTGGGCACAGCCATGTCCAGCTGGCTGCTGTGGCTGCTGGGGCGACCCTTTGTGACAGAGGCACATTCCTTTGTGACACAGGGGCCGTGCTGTGCCCAGAGGCCACCATGACCTCTGGGAGAGGTTTGGGGCACAGAGCCCTGGTGTGCACTGCCCAAGGGCACCTTTCTCAGGAGGCAGCAGCTGCCTGAGAGCCTCTGCAGGAAAGCATGACAGAGACACCCAAGGGGGAGAAGGTGAATCCCAAATCCCTGCCCACCCAGGGGCTGCTGAGCCTGAAGAGGCAAAGGATGAGCGACTGGGCAGGAAAGAGAGGCTGGTGATGGGACAAGGCTGGGCTTGAGCTGTGCCAAGACAGCCCACTCCACCCCTTGCCTCCTCTGTCCCACAGATGGACTTCAAACAGCCGCAGGTGGACCATGGGCAGCCACAGAACGAGAAGCGCTGCCCAAAAGCTCCTCCTGAGGCACAAAAGGCAGCAAAGGCAGCAGCCCAGGTCGAGCAGGTGTCCTCAGCAGGGGCACAGAGCCATGTCCCACTCCTGCAGAGCCCCTGCTCTGCCCCAGGCCCCTCATCTGCCCAGGGAGCAGCACAGACCCTCAGCAGGCAGCGAGCGCTGCTGGCAGCACCAGAGCTCAGGGAGGGGGCCTGGGCCAACGAGGAGGGAAAGAGGGAAGTCTTCCATCCCCTGCAGCCATGCCCAGGGGAAGACCACATGGAACAAGAGCTCTCCCAAGGGGAAGTCAGTGGAATCCTGAACCTGCCCCAAGGGGGAAACGACAGCAGAAACGACAGCAGCAAAACATCACTGCATGAAAACTGGAGACGCATCACAATCCAGACTATCTGGGTCAACCCCAAGTACCCAGAGCTCTTCCAGGACACCCTCCAGGAGGAGACAAAGAAAGAAACTCCTTCCTCAGACGAGCAGGTGCCAGCAGCAGGGGCACAGAGCCCTGCCCCAGACAGCCCCTGCTGCTCTCCCTGTTCCTCACGGACCCAGCTGGCAGCCCAGACCCTCAGCAACCTGCAGAGTGTCCACAGGCTGCCCTCCAGCCCCAGGCAGGCTCTGCAGGCTCTGTGCATCCTGCTCTGGTGCTCCTGCATGGAGTTGCAGCTGAATGATTAGTGCCTGCTGCCACTCTAATTCAAATCAGCTCCCTTGGGACAGTTCAGTTGTCAATAAATATTTTTATATTTTCAAAGAGTGCTGGAGAATCGTCACTGTCCCTCGTTACTGCACAGAGACTCAACCAACGCCTCTCCTGCAGGAGGACACGCCAATAAAAGATGCTGATTTGCCAGCAGTGCTCAGTGAGCCACCTCAGGACCCAGATGGGTTCCAGCAGCACCAGAGATTTGAAAATCAGTGGTTTTGTGATCATTGTGGCCAAGACAGCCATCAATCACCACCTCACCCACGAGAGCCCCTCTGGGAACAAGCAGCAAAGCACAGAGAGCACCTCTCCACATCAGTTCCCCAAGGCCCTCTGCCAGGAGGTTGTCATCCAGGAGTCTTGGGAATCTCCTGGATTTGTCTTTTCCCAGTTAACATCTTGTCCATGCAATTGCCCCACAAGGACACGGGTGGTTGGGTTGGTGGTGTCCTGACAGTCCTTAAAACATAACTCAAATATTCCATGTCCTGGCTGGGTCCCACAATGCCGGTGAACAACATCCTCTGACTGGTGTCCAGAATTCTGGGCATTTGAGGTGACAAAATGTCACTTTGAGATAAAGGAGCTTGGATGAAATATTCCGTGCTGACCTGGCATATGTGAGATGTAATCAACTTTACTTTCAGTTCACAGTCTCTAGAACATCCATGATTATTCAGGCTCAGGTATTACATTTACTCCACGGAAAAAAGTCCCAGCTAAGTAACCAAAGAGGTTTTCTTCTTCAAAATTTGGCCAAGCTCGGCTGTGGAGAGGGAACATGGAACTATCCCTGCCTGGGAGCTTAAAAACACGTCCTTCTGATTTTCAGGAAAAAATTCCTACCTGTTTTATCTTTTATACATGACCCAAAACTGGTTTTGTTGAAAACAGAAAAGGCAAGAAATTGCCCAGGCAGGATGGATTAAATGATATTGAACCTGTGAGTAATGTTTTGATGTGACTGTGACTGTCACACGTGGCAAAACCTCCAGCTTACAATCCAGTGAGCAGAGATGGTTTTTCTAATGATTCTACCTGAAGGTGTTTAATCTGCTAAAAGTCTCTTACTGACTTGCTTTAAAAGTGATAAAAAGCTCTTGGCCAGCCTCGCTGGTGCTGAGGCAATGGTGTTGGTGAGGCAAGAGCATCCCAGGAACTGGAAATGAAGCCCATTGGGGATTTGTGGGCATCACAGATAAGAATTACAGCAAAGCAACTCCTTGAGCAGCTTCCAAGGATCAGATGAGGGAGCAATAATGGCTTTGGGCTGCTGGGGAGCCTCTGGAAGGAGGCTGGAAAAGGCTGTTGATAGCCAGGGCTATCACAGGAGCAAATCCACAGGAAAAACATAGAGCCTGAGCAAAATCACTCAGTGCAGCCCCCAAGGGCCCAGCCAGGTCAGCATGTGCTGCTTGAGCTCTCAAAGAAGATGAAAGAAATATTTCATAAATTATAAACCACAGCCCACATCTGACCTGCAAAGAAACCTGCGAGTGCCCTGTCCAAAAAGTGGTGATCTGTGGCAAAAGAGGCTGAGTTTTCCCAAGGTGCTCATATACAGTGGATCATACCCTGAAAACCCTCTCAGCAGAAAGTGAGGTTATCTGCTTGCTCTTCAGTTAGACAAGATTTTGGTACATTACTTATGAGCTGTTGGATTTGACTCTTCACTGATCAGGTCCAGCCCTCACTAAGTTACATATAAAAGTAAAGGTGAGAATTACAGTCTCCTCTTCAAAAAATAATACTCATTTAAGGGTTAAGAGGAAGGCAGGACTGTCTTGTTTTGTTTTTTTTTTCCCAGCAATAAATTAAGATAGCAAGAAAAGCATCCCAGTGTACCATCTAGATTTACAGCAGGATTTTTCAATTTCATTTGTCATTGCCAAACACATTACACTGGGATTAAAATATACGGGTTATTAAATACTGATTACAAGACGACAGCGTGCTGTGGCAGGCAAATAAAAGTTGCAAGTTACTGAAATCAAGGCTTTGAAAACGTTTTAAGGGAATTAATGTTTAATTAGAGATTTTGATCTATAAGGCATTCTAGTAATAGCTTCAGGAGGAGATTACACAAACCTATGAGACATTTATAAGCAGAAAGGATACTTGATGTAGTATTTTCTTTAATTAATCCTGCACTGGAAGATCACCACAGGGGAATTTAGTGTTTGATGGACAATAAAAAAGACCATTCCAGTAAGCAGGCACAGAAGCACTTCAGCTTCTGTGGGGGTTTTTGCATTATCAAATTCATGTGCACGTATTTTTAACAATACAGCCTGAGATTAACTTTGAATTTAGTGTGATTAAGAATATTCCTAACTCAACATGCCCAGGTGAACTACGATATTGAAGTGCTGGGAGGTTTACAGATCTGAGGTACTTGGCTTAATAATCACTTTTTTTCTTCTGTTGAATTTCATTTTTCTGTTACTGAATTCCAGAAACAATATAAATCATCAAAAGCATTTTGCTTTCCAACATGATTGATGGTTTTATCTTTCACTCAGACATTCTTGTACAAAGCCTTCTGTTTCCACTAAAAAGTTTCTGTAATTTCCTGTAGTCAAACCACGTGACTGATACTTCACTGTTTTGCTCACTACATTTAATGTTGATGGTCTGATGTGATTTTCACAAGGCTAGAAGTGTCATTAAGGAAGTGTAAGAAGTGTTTGTGTTGTTAGGTGTAAAAACACAAACAGCCCTGGTTCCAGCTACCAAGGTTATGGAGTTATAGAGATGATAAAATTCCCGTTAAAGTTACTGGAAGGGGAAATAAATAAACTTCACAAGTTTTCAGTACAAAAACCCAGCAGTTTTAGGTCCTTAAGTTCATCTTTAATCCGAAATGCATCACCCTTCTGCTGATGTACAGAGTAAATTAAACTGCAAGGACATTTTTGAGGATTCAAAAGGCTTGATAAATTTGAAAAATCACTTTGAAAATGAGGACATCTTTCCTTTTCTCCTCCTTTCCTGGTACAGCTGGACCACACAGAGCATCATTACACAATTTTTTGTTAAATCCACACACTTAAAAAATGGATCTGGCTTTACATTTGAAAGACATTAATACATATTACAGTTTACTAATATTCCTCACAGCTAATTTTTATCACTGGTTCTGCTATGCTGATTTTCTCCTCATCACTTTAGCTGTAATTGTCTGGTTCAATACCAAGAGCACACATTCTCTATGCTGCCTGCTTAATTATTTTTACCTTTTTTTATTCCCCATTTCTCAGATCAGTAATTATGTCAGATCATAAATCCCATCCTACACCAGATTATAATAACTTGACAAATAGTAATACTTTCTGTACAACATGGAACAAGGTGAGCTGGTTTAACACACATAATTTCTTTCTAGTTAGTTTAATTAATTCATCTTAATTATTTAACCTATTAACCACAGGTTAATTAAATTGAATCTGATACAGTCTCTTCCTATATTTATATTCTTTTTTTTTTTTTCCTGGATGGGACTAGTGTTTCATTACCTCTGTTGCTCATTAATTTTAGTGCTGCTGTTGCTCTTTCCTTTAACATTAGTTTCCTCCAGGGCCAAGTTAATCCATAATTCAGTGCTGATGGTAAATCTCTGTGCATTACCCACCACACACAACCCAAAAGGCAACAGGGGGGGCTGGATCACATCAGGTAACAGAACCCTCTGCAGAAATGCACCCTAAATAGCCACAACCAGCCTGCCATGGGTGTAAAAGGACACCTCCTCCCACCTGCTTTTGATAGCACTTTTTTCCCAAGGACATCTTTTAAAAATATATTTTTCTTCCCAGGGTGCAAGGGAGCAGGGTGGAAGTGGCAGCCCATTTCTAAAGTCTTCTGAGGAGCACCTTGAAAAATCAAAGCCCAGAGCAAATGCCACAGTGAAACCAGCCAAGGTGGTAAAATCAAATTTGATGAACTCAGGCTCAGGAGCAGCTGCACTGCTTCTGCCCAAGAAGTGACAGGCAGCTGCAGTGCCTGCCCTCAGCTGGAGATCTACCACAGCATGCTCATCTGTAAACTCCTACCCCTCCAAAAATGTTTGTAATAATGGTGATAGCCTAGAAAAGCAAGGATCAGGGACTAGAAATACCTCTGCTGCCTGTACACTTCACTTTTTCCAACCACACTTGTGGCAAGGCAGCTGAGCATCAGTGTAAGTGGCTGTGTTGGTGACAGGGCAGAGCCAGGGCACAAAGCCAACCCAGGAGGGGATGGACCCCCTGCACCTCACCTGAATGTGCTGGCAGATGAAGATGAGGGTGGTCATGACAGAGGAGGGAGCCTGGCAGCCTCCAAGGGAAAGGATATGCCCATTCCCAAACCCCATCTACTGACTCTGCAAATGTGAGCTGGGGGAGCTTGCACAAGGATTCAGACCCTAAATTTTCTCCAGGGATTTTGATTCCACACAGACATTTTAATTCCAGTTGTGCATACAGTGCACACCGTGCCCACAACCCACAGCCCAAGGCCCACTCAGAGTCCCACCCCAGCAGGGGAATCTGCTGCAGAAGTCCCCACAGGATCTACCCCAGCACCCAGAGTGGATCAGGAATCAGACCTGCCCATCTTCAGGCTAAGGAGCCCCTGCTAAGCACAAAGCTGAATGAGATCACAGCTGGTGCAGGGCCAGAAAGTAATGGTGCAGTAATGGTTTTATTGGCTTTTTGAGAAGGAGCTGTTTGATTTCAGACAGAGGAGAGTCAACAGCAGCATTCACTCCCGCTAATCTCATTTCCAGCAGCACGCTGAGCGAGAAGGCACTTGGGCACTAAGCTGTGCTCGATTGCTCTTAGTTTATCCAGGATTACATTAGGAGCCCAAGAGCACCTGAAAACAGCCCCTAGCCAGAGCTGGGGCTTTGCAAATGGCTTCTGCAGCATCAGGCTTGTGGGAAAAGAAATCCCAGTGTTTCCAGCAAGCTGCTGGCAGTTTGCTCAGTACAAGAGCTGGATTTAGATGCACAGGTTTTAGATGTCCAAATTGAAGACGGCGTCTGTTGAGGAAAGCACTGCAGATAACA